TGGTTTATCCAGTCCAATAAAAAGAGGTGAAGTCCCTTGAAGCAAGTGTGCAGGTTGTGTAAGTTTATGGCCAGGTAAACAGACCTATTTACAAAATATACCACCCAACAACATTGTAGGACTGAACAATAGGACCTACTAATTGTGTAAATGTGCTCTTAAAGGCTAAAAAACAAGTACAGGTTTATTTTAGTGGAGCTAATTTAGCTAAAACTGACGCTGTAATATTACAACAGTGGGCCTTACAGGGTTAACAGAGACACGCAGAACATGCAGGATTCATATTTAAATCGACTTTTGCGGCTTAAAGTCGGCAAGAAAGGGAAGTTGCGATTGTCTTGTCAAAAAGTATGTTGCTAACAAATTAGAAGTACAATTCATTCATGTAATGTGTAAGGTGCACAGGCAAATTTTGTTACCACTCTTTGTTACCAAATTTTGTTTTATGTTGTAAAATTACAACCTTGACATAACAAGCTCAAAATCTAATTTAATCAAAGTATTTAACAGTACCTTAATATCTGTGTGATCTACACATATTACTAATCACAGAACAAAATATTTTAGGCATTATACTTACTTGCATACTGGTTTATCCAGTCCAATAAAAAGAGGTGAAGTCCCAGTCGGCAAGAAAGGGAAGTTGCGATTGTCTTTTCTTCTCTACTGTTACGTATATCCGAGTCAAAAACGGCATCTGAAATGAGAGGGCGGGACTTGATTTCGTCCTTCGGGAATTGATTGGATCTAGTGATGGGAAATTCGGATCATTTTACCGACTCGGACCTTTGAGTCTCGTTCAGCAAAATGAACAAATCTTTTTTCGAGTCATTTCGTTCATTTTAGCAAAATATAATTAAAATGTTACTGTTACTTCCCTAACACGTCTACTACTTACGCAAACGTTGATCACACTACATTAAACTTATGGGGCTGTCACGTGATGAACGAACGACTCTAAAAACCCGAAGACTCGAAACAGGTGAACTACTTGACTAATTCCAGTACAGAACCTATAGGATGTTGCGCATGCGCGACTGAACGAATCACTCCCCGAGACGACTCGTTCTTCCCGAGTCACATTAAAGATTTGTTCAAAATGAACGAATCATTCAAGAATGACCCAACACTAATTGGATCGTTGGAAGCTGCGGCGTTGCTAACAAATGGCGCTTTTCCACTGCATGGTACGGACTTGACTAATTCCAGTACAGAACCTATAGGATGTTGCGCATGCGCGACTGAACGAATCACTCCCCGAGACGACTCGTTCTTCCCGAGTCACATTAAAGATTTGTTCAAAATGAACGAATCATTCAAGAATGACCCAACACTAATTGGATCGTTGGAAGCTGCGGCGTTGCTAACAAATGGCGCTTTTCCACTGCATGGTACGGTACGGTTCACTTTTGGGGGGCTTTCCACTGGGTGCAGTACCTGGTACTTTTCTTAGTACCACCTCAGTTGAGGTTCCAAGTGAACCGTAACGTTACCAAAACGTGACGTGTAAACTCTGCTGATCACGGATTGGCCGGAGAGAATCGTCGCTACCGTGGAATGAAAAAGTTTTTCAGGAGTCGCGGCAGTAGAGGCGGCGCAACAATAACGACATGTGAATAATCCTGCCCACTCTAACGCGGTACTAAACTGCAGTGGAAACGCAAACCGAGCCGAGCCGTGCCGTGACGAGCCGAGTCGTACCACGCAGTGGAAAAGCGCCAAAAATGGAGGCAGATCTGAATGCCAGTTTGCAGTTAGTGGTGGGGGATTATCTCCACTGGATTCACAGACGACACCCAAGCATGAATAAATGTTTTATTTATTAAGGATGACGACGATGATCACCGGCACAAAACATGCCTAAGCAGCGCGCGCGCGAGAGAGAGAGAGAGAGACTGCCTGGATGACTGAGCGCGTCCTCCATCAGGTTAACATAAGTCATATTCATGAAAAAACTTAGTTTGCGATGTCCTAAGAGTAATGTTGTCGTAATATCCTAATATCTTTTCAATGTTTAGGGGTATTGATTAATTCATTCAAAATTTGACAAATTCCGTGACATTCCGCATTTAACTGTGAATTCCGTTTTTATGACTGGATTCCGCGATTCCGTCCCCGTTTTCCGCATCGCGCCCTAGAAATGAGTCATGAACTGCAGCAAGATGTCATTTTATGCGAATCCCCAGACCTTTATCTACACATCAAGTATTATAATGGGAATATATATATCATCTTGGAGAGAGAGTTTTACCGTGCTGAATGTCATAACTGAACGTGACGTGCTGTTTGAATGGTGAGCGGAGAATAACTGACAGCTGCAGCAGAAGGAAGAATCGTATCAACTTGTGGAAAATGGGCATCTTATGACCCCTTTAACAAATATCTTTCAACAAATACCATCACTTTATCAGTTATGTATTTTGGATTGTTTTGACATTTCTTTGCTTTACTCCACAGCAACTAAAGGACAGATGGAAAAAGGCAAAGTGCTTCTTTCACTATTAATTGTCAGTATTATTGGCATTCTAGTTTTAGTGCACATGAACAGTCATACATATTACATACAAGCTCCTCTAACAATAAAATCTCCTCCATCAAATAATAAATTCAAAATCCCGGAGGCTTCATATTTAATAACACCCATCAAAGACTCTGAGCATTTCATGGTGTCTGCGTTTATCGACCACAGACTGGATGGGGTCATTCGAGTCATCAGCATAATCAACAGAAACAGTCTTCAGCCACTTTACTGTGTTCACTGCAGCGCTGAACAAGTCTGCAAAACTGTTCACACTGAGGTCCAGATACACAGCGACCATTTTAGCTTCCCGTATGGTGCCTCAGATGTGATTTGTAAAGGTAAACACATGCAAAATGCAACTCATGTCCTCATAACTGACAAGAAAGATTCAGTTGACCTCAAAATGGAATATCTGCCAATAAAAAATAAGGCTGTACAAGAGACTTTCAAGTTTAACTTCACCGTTTGCATCTCAAACCTTTTTGGCAACTACAACAATGTACTGCAGTTTGCTCAAACGATGGAGATGTACACGCTTTTGGGAGTACAGCATGTGGTCATCTATAAAACTGGTTGTGGACCAGACTTGAAAAAGCTCTTAAAACATTATGAAACAGAGGGGATACTGGAGATCGTTCCATGGCCTATCGACCAGTTTCTGAACCCTGCATCAGGCTGGAACATCAAGCACCACAAGGGAGACATTCAGTATTATGGTCAGTTAGTAACACTCAACGAGTGCATTTACAGGCACATGTACCAGTCAAAGTATGTTCTCCTGAATGACATTGATGAAATCATCATGCCTTACAAACACGCCAGTTTACCATCTCTAATGGAGGACCTCCAGTCTGCTCATCCCAATATAGGGGTGTTCCTCATAGAAAACCACATATTCCCTAAAACACAGTTTGAGGAGAGTGGGAAGTTCAAACGAGCAGAATGGAATAATATTCCTGGTGTTAATATCATGGAGCACATTTACAGAGATCATTCGAGTCATCAGCATAATCAACAGAAACAGTCTTCAGCCACTTTACTGTGTTCACTGCAGCGCTGAACAAGTCTGCAAAACTGTTCACACTGAGGTCCAGATACACAGCGACCATTTTAGCTTCCCGTATGGTGCCTCAGATGTGATTTGTAAAGGTAAACACATGCAAGATGCAACTCATGTCCTCATAACAACTGACAAGATAGATTCAGCCAACCTCAAAATGGAATATCTGCCAATAAAAAATAAGGTTGTACAAGAGACTTTCAAGTTTAACTTCACCGTTTGCATCTCAAACCTTTTTGGCAACTACAACAATGTACTGCAGTTTGCTCAATCAATGGAGATGTACAAGCTTCTGGGTGTACAGCATGTGGTCATCTATAAAACTAGTTGTGGACCAGACTTGGAAAAACTCTTAAAACATTATGAAACCGAGGGGATGCTGGAGATCGTTCCATGGCCTATCGACCAGTTTCTGAACCCTGCATCAGGCTGGAACATCAAGCACCACAAGGGAGACATTCAGTATTATGGTCAGTTAGTAACACTCAACGAGTGCATTTACAGGCACATGTACCAGTCAAAGTATGTTCTCCTGAATGACATTGATGAAATCATCATGCCTTACAAACACGCCAGTTTACCATCTCTAATGGAGGACCTCCAGTCTGCTCATCCCAATATAGGGGTGTTCCTCATAGAAAACCACATATTCCCTAAAACACAGTTTGAGGAGAGTGGGAAGTTCAAACGAGCAGAATGGAATAATATCCCAGGTGTCAATATCATGGAGCACATTTACAGAGAACCAAGTCGAAAAAACATTTACAATCCCACAAAGATGATTGTCAACCCAAGGAAGGTGCAGCAAACGTCAGTACACTCCTCTTTGAAAAACTTTGGAGGCAGTTTCCATGTACCGTTTAATGTATGTAGGATTGTACACGTGAGAGTCCCACTGCAGAGGCGTCTTACCAAAGAGCAACTCTTTGTAGACAAAAGAGTCTGGGACTTTGAGCAAGAGCTGATACAGAACGTTGACCAGACTTTGAAACGTTCTGGTTTCCTGAAGGCTTATAGTTGACATGTTTGTATAGTATTAATGTAAATATGCAAATATAGCCAAAACTGTATTTTCAAAACTATATTGAATTTTTTTTTACTTAAGAAAAACACAGTCTTTAAAATAATAATGCTTTTGAGTTGTTGCCACCGGCCCAACGGTTCAACTGTCAAATAAAATGCTCTTTAAAAAAAAAAAAAAAAACTTAAAAAGACAATAATCTAACAACTGAGATATGAAAGCATGGGTATTTGTCAAATAATGTCAAGCCAATATTTCATGCATAAATCACAGTATTTTGTAAATATTTGTAATTCAAAAATATGCCTGGTTATACTGTATGGATCTGATGAAAAAAAAAGTTGATACTCTCAATATACATATCAAATTAAATCATTTTGTCAATACCAGAATGTTTCGTTTTTAATGGGTTTAAGACCTTCTGATTATGTTCATTATGCAAGATGACCTTTTATCTTTTTTGAAATGCCCTACAGTTCAGGGTCAAACAAAAAAACTGGGGAAAAACATAACCTATTGATAGCCTATATTTGTTTATGCAAACTGCATATGACATTCAAAATATAATCAAATGCAAATTTATTGCAACCGCAGAAGTGCAGTTGATATGGCACTCAGAATCATAGAGGATCCTGTTGTTTCATCTCTCCCTATGAATTTTTTGACCTTAGGGTTAGCTCATTTATGCGCACCAGCTCATTGTGGACTGTAATTTGCATATGCAAACTTTCATTTAGTGTTTGCATCTGCTGAAGAATGATTAAATTGTAATGCATTTTATTGTCATTTAATGATTTAAAACAAAATCTGTTAGAACATAATTTTAACAGTCATAAGTTAGGAGAGTAACAGAGTTTGCCTTTACTTGGGATGAAACCTGTGACATTTGTGTTTTAATTACTATACACAAAACAGAGGCATTTTTATTGATTCATATTATTTAATGTTCCATCAGTTTAGCTCAACCAGGCACAGTGAAGATACTGGATTGGGACACGGATTCATATTCATACATACCTGCAAAGGTTTTAAATGGGTACTTAACCTACCTTAACCTATTATGTTTAGGGACTAGGTTTACTGGAACTCGCAGCTGGGGGATGATTACCTATATTATCTTTAGATGTTTAGCTTAGAGTGGTCACTTCTGCCCACTGAATGCCTATAAAATACAATGTATGCCTGCCTTGGTCCGACGCTGCCGACGTGAAGCGACAACACTGTCGGCTTTCGTTGCCGCTAGTTCTTTGAAGTCAGCTTAGTGTGACTTTTGATGAGTGCAGAGCCACACAGCACGCTCTCAATAAATAAGCCTGCTGAAGATACCCAAAAGTTTCCTGGTCTTTAGCATTTTAAAATTCTAAAGCAATGGATTCGTATGCATATCTTGACATATATTCCTTGCAAGGATTAAAAGGGAATGGTGTTTAATGTCAAAAAGATGGGTCTGCTTGACTAAAATAATATTTTTTAAAGAATTTTTATAATCTACAATGTAGATTCTACATTTCAGTTTCAAGGAGTCATTAGCAGAGAGAGCACAACCATAACAATATTCACAAACATTGCAAACACGCTCGCAATAATTCATACACGCACACACTCATTCTCATACGAGAGTACACTCAATAATGTACAAGAATATATCAATACAACATATGTTAAGTAAATATATCTAAACATACCAGTAATCAGTTTTAATGTAGGAAATTAGTTGGTGATCATATAACGCTGAAACTGAAGCCTGGTCAAAATGTCAGTGGGAAATGTCTTCTGCTATTATTTTTTGTTGTTTTAATACCAGATATATCCTGATTCATTACCACAAAAATGGAGAAATAACAGCACATCAGTGAAAACTAAAGAGCCCAGGTAAGATTTGAAAGCTACTACAATATTTTCAAATAATAGTAATTATAAAAGATGCAATGTATTTATTATCCTGATGATAATTCATTAATCTAACATTCCGCTCCACAAGAGGGCACATAAATAGGTGGGAATCGAGTTCATTTACTAATGCTTCTCCCATGTCCCATTAAGCAACAGTACATCCTGTGCAGTCTTGTGCACTCAGTAGGGGTATTTGGATATGGAGATGTAGATAATAAAGATACTCTGGTAGGTTATGCGCCCCTGGTCTGACAGCGTAGTGGCTTGTACCCGAAGTCGCACCAGGCCGGGCCAGTCTAAAGGCTTTACTGTGAATATGATGCCTCTTCCTGCTTCGTCCTTGATGCCAAATGGCCTCTCTCCATTTTCCCCTCCTTGCTCCAGGATAGTGAAGGATGTGTGGTCTTGGAGAACACCTGATTCGGAGAAAGCTGACAAACGAGCCAAGTTGTGGTGTGCTGGTATGCCCAGAGGAAGAGTGAGGAGCTTGTACTGGAGCAGAGGAAAGCCTGTGGAGCCACAATCTAGTCTGGAAGTGCAAGGCCTGTAGCAGGTGCTGGGATCAAAGCAATAGAGCAAATGTATATGGGCCAATAAGAGTGTCCATGTTAAAGAAATGAAAAAGAAAAAAAACTTGGTAAAAAGGAAAAAAGTTGGCAAGTATTCATGGAATGTTTTAATGCAGTTTTGAAAACCTTTTATAGCATTTTCAAGAAAAATGTAATGACTCTAAAAAGTGTGTACACATAAAAACAGTGTACACATCTTGACATCCTTTTCAAGTTTGTGTTTCCAAGTAATCTTTTTACATCATGAATTATTAATTCATAAATAATAATAAAAGTAAATAAAAATATAGCTGCAAGCAGCAATTATCGGGATTCAATCTTGTAACAAGCCTGTAACCCAGTGGTTCTCAAACTTTTTTGTCGCGAACCCCTTTAAACCTATAAAAAATCTGGCGCCTGAGTTTTCCTTAAGGCTTTATAGGATTTAGGGTAAATTTGGACAGGCCCCTTTTCTAAACGACCCCGTTATAGCTTCCCAAAGGGAACATTTAAAATTTTTTTTTAATAATTATTGGCCTAGAGAGTCTGAATTGTACTGCAGTGGTTTAATGCAATTATTGGCCTAGAGAGTCAACTGAATTGTACTGCAGTGTTTTTTTCCAGATTGAGTGAAAAAAAATCACAAAAGTAGGTTTTTTACATCTCAATCATTTAACAAACGATTTGATTGACAGCTACGGTTCTAGAGGCAAAGTTGTCCAGAATGAGGAGTTGTATCGTATAATATAAATATTGTGCGCATATGCAAAAAACCGCACGGCGTACAATCGTTTACGCCCTTGAAAATGCGATATCGCCCCCCAGTGGCCGATTTCTTTTGAATTTCTCTCAGACCTTTGGGGCTGTGAGTAGAACAGGCCCTTTCAAGTTTCGTTCCGATCGGCCTCCGTTAACCTTGTCTAACAGGTGCTCAACCTTCGTCGGCCAATGGCGGCCATGTTTTTTGAGATACGCAAATGTCCTTGTAGACACTTATAAAACTTGTAGACACCATTCAGGAGTTATAGGTATTTTACTAAAAGTGGCCCTGCCCCTTTCGAACGTTTTTGCTCCCCTCCCCTTCGCGTCCAGAGAATCTTTCTGCACTGGTTTGGTTGCAATCGGCCGAAAAACCTAGGACTAGTTCGCAAAAGTAGGTTTTGCAAAAAATGCAAAATACCCCAAAATTTCACCGGGCACACGATCAAATCTGAGGCGTGCGTTTTGTCCGGCGTGAGCAAAGGATTCCAACGACATCAGACACTTGAGCCTGCGACTGACGGTTTAAGAGTTATGAGTGATTTTGCACTTTTGATCGCTGTAGCACCCCCGTCAGGCCGATTGGGGTCACATTGTAGGCGATGCAATGCAAAAAATGCTTTTCTTACTTAGTTTTTTTTTGTCTTGTTTTCAGCCAAAATATCTAAAAATTACTTAAATCAAGAAGCATGATTTACAAATTATTGTCTTGTTTTCAGAACAATTTTGCTTAGAACAAGTAAAATAATCTGCCAATGGGGTAAGCAAAATAATCTTATTTCAAACAGAAAACAAGATTATTTTGCTTACCCAATGGGGCAGATTATTTTGCATGTTTTAGGCAAAAACTCACTTAATTTTGACGTTTTTTCTGAAAACAAGTCAATCATTTTTACTTGTCTAGAAAATCCTTCTTGATTTTCGATATTTTGGCTGGAAACAAGACAAAAAAAATCTAAGTAAGAAGAGCATTTTTTTTGCAGTGTGTGAGTACTACCATCCCTCCGAGTTTTAAGTCTCTATGACTCATGGTTTGGTCTGCACAATGAGTTTTATGTGGAGATCGCTGATCCGTGACCATTTATAACAATTACAATAGGGTTTCAGCGCTACGCGCTTGAACCCCTAAATAATAAAAAAAAAGCTGCTAAATAAGATTTTCTGTTCATTCATTTCTTTTGCTGAGGCTTTCATTCATTATATTACAAGCAAATCTTACCCTGGATTGCGTCCTCTTTGGTAGCTGGTGGGACAGGGTGTGTCAAGACACTGATAGCCCCCTCGTGTGTTAAAGCACATTTGGTTTGGGCCACACTGAACACCTTGCACAGTGCACTCATCAATATCTATAAGAAAAGTTGATTTTCAAACTTTTTTTTACATGAAAAAAGGCTTTATATACCAGTGGAGGCTTGTTGGGGGAGGCAGGGGAGGCACAGCTTCCCCATAATTTTGAGGTGAAAATGGGAGGAGGACGATTTAATGTTAATAAAATTCACAATTAATTTCAGTTCAGTTGTAATACCATATTACCAATTCAGTTGTAATACCATAACGTGAAAGCGTCGCTTTTCTATCGCGAATGTGAATCTGCTGATGTAATTACAACCGCTAATGATAGAGAAAGGTAGGGGGAGGCCAGGGCAGAGCTGAGTTCTCGTGCCTCCGTTGGTAAAAAAAAATGAGCCAATCACCATTGAGTGTTCACTTTCAGCGCTGAGGAGTGTTGAGGAAAGAAGCCTCCCATCTGAGGCTAACCAATCATCAAAGAGACGTAAATTACGTGATATTAGTTTGAACGTCTGCCTCTG